GTCTGTCTGTCTGTCTGTCTGTCTGTCTGTCTGTCTGTCTATCTATCTATCTATCTATCTATCTATCTATCTATCTATCTATCTATCTATCTATCTATCTATCTATCTATCTCTATCTGCCTATCTATCTATCTATCTATCTATCTATCTATCTATCTATCTATCTATCTATCTATCTATCTATCTATCTATATCTATCTGCCTATCTATCTATCTATCTATCTATCTATCTATCTATCTATCTATCTATCTATCTATCTATCTATCTGTCTATCTGTCTGTCTGTCTGTCTGTCTGTCTGTCTGTCTGTCTGTCTGTCTGTCTGTCAGTCTGTCAGTCTGTCAGTCTATCTGTCTTTCTGTCTTTCTGTCTTTCTGTCTTTCTTTCTTTCTTTCTTTCTTTCTTTCTTTCTTTCTTTCTTTCTTTCTTTCTTTCTTTCTTTCTTTCTTTCTTTCTTTCTTTCTTTCTTTCTTTCTTTCTTTCTTTCTTTCTTTCTTTCTTTCTTTCTTTCTTTCTTTCTATTTTAAGAGTGTTTTCTTTTAGGGCTTGTGTTTGGATTAACTAGGTCCAAAAAGAACGTTTTGCCAATTTACCACCCATGAATTTTTCTTAATTTTTGTATTTTTCTTATTTTTGCCCTTATGAAAAAGTGTGAATATTTAGCTGTTTTTCATGCATATTAGTGACCGTGAAACCAGAAAGAAAGAAAGAATGCTTGTAAAACCTCCACTCAGGTCAAAGTTGTTGGAAGAATGTAATGGTTTACAATACCTTTCAAAAGTCTGGTCTCGGTAAGAATTAAACAAATAATAACAATAATAATAAATCATCACGGCTGCATCCATTTGATCAAAAATACAGTAAAAACAGTAATACTGTGAAATATTATTACAATGTCAAATAAATCTTTGAACTCTATTTGAATGTGTTTTAAAATGTAATTTATTCCTGTGATTAAAAAGCTGAATTTTCAGCATCATTATTCCAGTCTTCAGTGTCACATGATGCTGATTTGATGCTCAAGAAACATTTCTTGTCATTATCAATGTTGAAAAGGGGACCGTGATACATTTTTTCCCAGGATTATTTGATGAATACGAAGTTTCCAGCATTTATTTGAAATAGATATTCCTTCTAACATTATAAATGTCTTTACTGTCACTCTTGATCAATTGAATGCATCCTTGCTCAATAAAAGTATGAATTCAAAATCCCGTCTCTTATGAAAGTGAGTGTCAGGCTATTATTCTTATAACTTGATTTAAACCATGTATTATGTTGCAGTTCCTAACAAACTGTCAAGTTACTGTTTTATTTGCACTCCAAAGCCAGTTTGTATTGGTATCCTGGTCTGTAGTGATCATATTATCTTGATGTGTTTATGTTTTGCAGGGGTACCGGCAGAAGGACTATTTCATCGCCACACAGGGTCCTCTGGCGCACACAGTGGATGATTTCTGGAGGATGGTTTGGGAATGGAAATGTCACTCAATCGTGATGCTGACAGAACTGCAGGAGAGAGATCAGGTACACATGCACACATGCACACACACGTACATGCACACACACACACACACACACACACACACACACACACACACACACACACACACACACATACATACATACACACGACTTCCTGTCAGCTTTGTCATTTGGTGTGTGTGTGGGTGTGTGTGTGTTGCAGGACAAGTGTTTTCAGTACTGGCCTACTGAGGACTCGGTGACTTACGGAGACTTCACAGTGGAGATTAAAGGAGACACGCTGTGTGACACGTTCATTCTCAGAGATCTGCAGCTCACACACGGCCCGGTGAGTGCACATTATGAGCTGATTTGCATTGTAATTTTTTGTAATACTTGGATTCTGCATTCAAGTTGGCTTGGTGTACTTTGGGAGTTAATATGTAAAGGCTGCTTGGATGAACTGTAATGCATATTGTTGTGTGTGTGTGTGTGTTCTTAACAGGAGAAGCAGACACGTTTGGTTCGGCACTTTCATTTCCACGGCTGGCCAGAGATCGGGATCCCAGCCGAAGGTAAAGGGATGATCGACATCATCGCAGCGGTGCAGAAACAGCAGCAGCAGTCGGGCAACAACCCCATCGTCGTGCACTGCAGGTAATGCGTTTAACTAGCGGTCTAAATGAAGTCGCACTGTAGACCAGAGATTCCCAAACCATTTTTGTCAGCCGAAGCCCTTTGGCCTAAAATATCTACTTGAAGAACCTCTGAGATTTTAAATTAATATTTCAGTAATTTAACAATACATTCATATGTTCATGGCTCACTGGTCACATGAAATGCAGGTAAACAAAAAAAAAAATTTTAGCAGACACGTTTGGTTCGGCACTTTCATTTCCACGGCTGGCCAGAGATCGGGATCCCAGCCGAAGGTAAAGGGATGATCGACATCATCGCAGCGGTGCAGAAACAGCAGCAGCAGTCGGGCAACAACCCCATCGTCGTGCACTGCAGGTAATGCGTTTAACTAGCGGTCTAAATGAAGTCGCACTGTAGACCAGAGATTCCCAAACCATTTTTGTCAGCCGAAGCCCTTTGGCCTAAAATATCTACTTGAAGAACCTCTGAGATTTTAAATTAATATTTCGGTAATTTAACAATACATTCATATGTTCATGGCTCACTGGTCACATGAAATGCAGGTAAACAAAAAAATTTTTTTTTATTTTTTTTATGTTTGTAATTTTTTTATTTTATTTTTTATTTGTTTAGTTTTTTTATTTAAACATTATTTACTGCATTTTCTTTAAATTATATAATTAATTATTAGCTTTGCATCAACTCACAAACTCTTTTGAAGTTTTGTTGCAAACCCCAGTTTGGAAAAAAAAAACACCTTCCGCTAGACTAATTAGAATTTTATTAATTATATTTGATAAAGATTAATCCAAACCTTACTACTATAATACATTTTTTACAGAATGACTTAACTACTACTAGAAGTAGAACTTAACTACTTTATTAATAACTTTTAGCACTGAAAAAAATAAATGCTGCAAATTTTATCCCTATAACTTTTAGTGTATTTTGAGATACTATTAATACGATTTATTTTTCCATTTTCATTTTAGTTCAGGTTTTAGAAATTTTTTTATTGCTTTTGTCAGAAGTTGAGAACGCCTTAGCAACTAGCTGAAATAAAACGTTTCTAATACATTATTATATTTCAGTTACCTGTTATTTTATTTCAAGTAACATAAATATATTTTAATGGTTTTAATTGTAGTTTTAGTTAAATATAATAACCCTGACACCCTGAGTTAACTCTTAGTTTAAGCCTGTTGTTTGCATTTTAATATTTTTGAAACCTTTATAAAACGGATATACTTGTGTTCAGCCAGTAATTTGCTGACTTGACTAAGTATGTATGTCGTGTATTTTGAATGTTTTTGTGTGCTCTTGCTCTGCAGTGCTGGAGCGGGTCGGACCGGTACGTTTATCGCTCTCAGTAATATTCTGGAGCGAGTGAAAGCCGAGGGTTTGCTGGATGTGTTTCAGACTGTGAAGAGTTTACGAATGCAGCGGCCACACATGGTGCAGACAGTGGTCAGTGCAAACCTTCAGACACTTCATATCCATTACACATTTACATCAAGACCATCAAAAACTGATCACGGTAATCAGTAGTCTCTGTCAGAATACTACAGTAAAACTGGTAACTTGCTATTGTTATTGCACCACTGTCATTTAAACAATTGTATGACTTAATGCAAGTAATATAAATGAAATAATATAAATGATTTAATTTGTAATGAATTAAATTCATATTAAATATATATTAGAAGCAATATCTTATCATCAATATCATATTATAAATATAAAAATGTATTTCATTTATGAATGTGACATTATTTTATAATATTGTCATATTTGACAACCAGTGCTACATTTCTGAAAGGGTTAATAAATCAATCTAAATATTTCTAAGTAGCCTGAGGCTTAAGTAAAGTATGCATTTTATCAAATGGTTTTATTAATGTATTATTTATTGTTCTTTCTGTCTGTCTGCAGGAACAGTATGATTTCTGCTACAGAGTGGTACAGGACTTTGTGGACATTTTCTCAGACTATGCCAATTTCAAATGATCTAATCTGCCTTAAATCTTTGAGTTTGATGCTTTTTTACACGTCAGTCGATCAGGATTTTACACCGCGACTGGAAGATAATTACGCTCTATTTTGCTATGCACTTCTCCTCGGTGTTACTAAAAGACCACATCTATCTGTAATATACTAAGGCTACTAAAGTTTGAAAAAGTGTAAATTGTTTTGTCTCGTTTATAACACATTTAAATGGGTTATTTTATTTTGGTCTTAAATCATCTTTTTTTTCACGACGGATCATTCCAGTTGTTATTGTAAAATAGTGTTTTGTCTGTTTATTTGTTCAACTAATTATTTTAATTTTTTATTAAGCGAATTTGTAAAGCTGTAGGTGGTTTGTATTTATGCATTATGTCGCAGACAGGACGTCCTGCCAGATAAAACATGTATGTGAATGTTCCATGCCATTTTATTTATTCAGAGTTATTGTCTTGCAATTTATGAAAGATATCATTGTGTCAAAAATCATGTCTTTAACATTGTGCTCATCAGCCATTGCAAATGTGAACTTTTTTTTTTTTTCAAAGCAGCAAATATACATAAAGAAAGCGAGTGAGATTATTTAGGTTTGACAGGATATGGCTAAAGTATTGTTCGTAAGAAAGGCACAAACACATTCACAATTCACATGGTGGAACATCAGCAAGAATTTCTATTAGATTCTATTATGCACCGAAACAATAACTGTATGAGACTCATGACCCTTGACCTTAAACATCCTGCCTCTGTTTCCCTGAGAATGATGCTGAGAAAAACTGCACAGGTTTTTTAAAGCACACACATCACTGATTGTTGCCTTGCAGAAGGCCAAGGATTTACAAATAAATGGATTATGAAATCACACTGTTGTCCTGTGTCTTATTTTGAGTTGGGTCAATAAAGGTTTAATCAGGTTTACAAAAGGCCAGTCATAAGAAAGAAAAACTAAAATGTACAAATGCAAATGAATAAATAAAAATGACTGAATAAAGGTTGAAAGTAAGTCAATAGTACTATTTTCAAATAAGGGTATAATTAAAATGACAAAATTAAGGGTTCGTATGTTTTAACTACGCTTTTAAGTAATAGCAATACAAATAAAATAATACAATTATTTTTTAATAAATATTAAAAAGGTCAAATAAATCAAATTTTTCTAAAATACTAAAAAATATTGAAAACACATTTGTAATGCTAAATAAATGTTTACGCAGCGTTTAACATTTTTATTGATACATATCAAACATAAAATTTAATTAAATAAATAAATACATTTTCAGGTTTTGAGCAGAGCCAAGACGTAAGCCAAAAAAAAAAAAAAAAAGTTCATTATTAAACCAACAGCTCCTAAAATATATAGCAATTTTCTGTAAAGTTGCTTTGCAGCGATTTGTATCGTGAAAAGCGCTATACAAATAAACTTGAATACTGCCATCTAGTGGACATGTTTGTTAGTGTTTTTTTGTATATGATGAGCACATGCTTGTTAAAAGCAAATATATTTTCTACTATATATGATGCTTTTATCAAGCATGCGCATATCATGTTTTTTATTACTTATCTTTTAAATATCTTTCTTTTAATTTTAATGATACATTACTGTAATTAAAATTCAAAATGAAAATACCTTATATGTACAGACCTTTGGCCAAACCTGTTTTTAAACATTACACAGAAATATATACGGAATGAAAAAAGATGTAAATACAGCTATGGCCAAGATATTTGACAAAAATGATTTAGCCCAGATAAAGACTCTGTATTTCTGTACTTCAGTCAGTAGATGTCACTGTTGTGTTTACTAATCCGCTGGAGGTTGAGGCCTACTCTTTCCTTGAGAAAAAAAAAGAAGAGGCTTCTCTCTGATAAATAATGTTGCACTGGAATAGTTTAGCAGAGTTTTATTGTACATAAACCTTGTTCAGCATCTTCACATGTAACAGAGCATCATAACACTGACATCTCGAAGCATTTCTGGTAAGTTCAAGTTATGCGTTGTGTTTGTTGTGAGGGTAAAAGTGTACATGTCAGTTTAGTTTATTCTCCTGCTCTTTTCTGTCTGCTTGTCCACTGCTTGTGCAAGGTATCATCATAAGCATAGCGTTTAGAGACTGTTATGCAGTGAAAACCTCAAAGTGGCTGTTAAAACTAAGACTGAATCACTCCTAAGCCCTTCGGTCCCTCCAGGGTCCCTTCCAGTCCGGCTAAAGATATACCATCTCTGGCTCTTACTTTTCTCAGCATGCCTTTGTCCAAAGTGCTTTAATAAATTCTAATTTCATACAAAAGAATAGGAAACTACAGGAGGTTAGAATGAAAATGTGGAGTCGTTTCTGCCAAAGCCCAGCAGAGAGACTGTGCCCTAATAGAGCTGGGCATTAGGGGCCGATCTCTGCAGCACGCCTCACGTATGTGACCGCACTACAGAGTCACGGTGTTCAAATGCAGTTAAAAACAAATGAAGCCTTCTCTTTAGATGAGAGCCGATTTCATTTGCTAACAGAGCCAGGTACGCCTGGAGTTTACAAATGGAATGAACAAAATGAATTAGAGCGAAGGATTCATCGTTCATGTGTGTGTGATTATGCATATATATTGTGTCTAAATGCATGCAGTAGTGTTTCCCGACGAGCTTGTTATCATTTGTACTCTGAAAAATGTTAAGATATTGAGTTGGCTCGTGCAAATCCCTTTATTCCCGTTGGAGACAAAACAATCAACAAACACAATTTTAAATCAATACAATACATGCAATTTGAATTTTAGCCTGTTATGCAAGACTTTATTATAAGAAAGGAAATGTCAGTGAACAAATGTAATTAATCACTCTGGAATTATTTATGTGATACAAATGACAGATGATAAAACTAGGGTTATTAGAGTTAACTAAAAGATTTTTGTTACTTGAAATACAATTAAAAAAAAATAAATAAATAAATTTGAAACAACATATTATATTTAAAAACTCAAACTTATTTTATTGCAGATAGTTTTCCAAGGCAGCATTTCTCATTTTCCTTTTATTTAACTTGATGTACTAGAAAAAGACGTGTAAAAAACAAAAAAAAACAGTAGCTAATAAAAATGACAAGAACACACAACCAATTACAAAAATGTAAAAACATATTTATTTTATATCTCTAAAATAACTGCAACTATAGCAGTGAGATATAATTTTATCTCAATCATATTAAAATAACTGTTAAAAACCTGTATGATTTTGGCTTTTGCATGCTGTCATTATGCTCTTTCATCATATCACAAAATCAATTGCAATATGATTTTTAGACCAAACTCTGCAGCTCATGGTGAAGTTCTGTCACCATTTTGTACTCTTCTTCATGTCGTTCCAAACCCTTTATATTTTCATCCATTGAACACGTTTTGCTATTATTTTCCAATGTGAATAAGCAGGGTTGCTGAGCTCCAGAAAAGGAATATACAAACAGAACCACAAAAATGCAGTTAAAGTAGTTCATATGATTTCTGTGCTATATTCTACATCCTCTCCGAAGCGGTTTTTTTTTTTTTTTTTGGCTTTTGAGGACTTGGAAATGTCGTGCAAGAGTCAATGGATTCAACATAAGAGCAGTTGCATGCATGCTTTAGAGATGAGTCTGGATGTATGACTAGTGACTTTTTCTAGTTTTCTTGTATTTATCCTTCCTGTAGTTCAAATGGTATGAGCAATGCAAAGGTCATGGGCTTGTTTCCCATTGAAAGCAAGAACTGATAAAATGTGTACCTATATGCAATGGATAAAAGTGTTTGCCAAATGCATAAAGTTAAATTTATTGTTTGTTATAGTGCTTTAAAAGCAAGTCATTTTAGAGCAGACTTTTCAATATTATTTATCGGCTTAAAGATATCGGCCAAATTTTCTTATCGGGCCGATACCGATAACAGAAAAAATGAGCATTTATTGGCCGATACCGATGTGGTGGCCGATATATCGTGCATCCCTAGCCAAAAGTAATGTTGCATTATATGTAACTGTTCAAATTGATTACATTTTTAAATAATTAAACTATTTTAAATATTTTTTAAATTTTTTTTAAATGAATAAATAAATAAAACTAAATGGCATGACACGGTTTTTATTTTTTCCCCTTCACTTGGGATATTGCAATGTCTGGCCAAATCAAGGGTCATCATGGGCTGACTTTGGCCCGCATGGGCCCTTGTTTAAGCATCTCTTTTTTAGAGAAACAACTTGTTGTAGAGGTTTGGTAACTAGTCGACAGTGTTGTGCTTCAGCTTGTGAATTATTGTTAGGATTTGTGACATTATTGACATAAAAATTACACGCTTTATGTTTGCACACTTGATCCGTTTCAGGTACAATGCCCTTAAACGTGCATCATTTTACAGATTCATTGTTCAGACGCCCCACCGACTAATCGGTTTTTAGCATCCGCACATCCTTAGCATTCATGCATGTGTGCGTTTGTCTTTTCTTGCTCTCTCTGTGAAGTTCTCGATCTAATGTGCTCCTCAGAAGTGTGTGACTGCTTGTAGGTCGTCTGAAGTCGGAACGGCTCCCCCGACGCCAGACCTTGCTTCATTAAACCGCTTCTATAATTGCTCGACTCCAACACAAAACGCCTCGTATCTGTATATTTGCAAATTTCATTTAACCTTAGCCTCTCCTTCCGTACCCCCGGTGGATAATCACTTTGTTTACCACAAATTAAACTCGGCCTGATTGTTTACCAGCCGCAAAGTCCCACCACATTTCTAGAAGCCTCGTTTATTTATTTCAATAATCGCAGAGCAGGGAGTCATGTATATGCCGCGCTCATCTACATGAAAATTGTACAATTAACTTTTGATTAACCAGCTTGTTGGTTTTTTTCGCGTACTTTCTCCCCGCGCTCTGCCGTGTAATGGCTAGGCTGAATTTTAATAAACGCCTTTAAATTGGGAGCGGCCCTTCCTTTGAGTCGCATGAATGCGAGGGAGCATTGAATAAATGCTCGCTAGAACAATAGCGCAGGCTGCCAGTCTGTGGTGTCATCTTTAAGTATGCAAGGATGAAAGCCTCACGATTTGTCCATCAAAACAAATAAGAAAGGAAGCTGCTAATTCAGATGGCAGAAAGTCAAGTGCTTTTGAGTGGCCCCGCCACGCGCTCCCCCCGCGCTCATCGCTAATGACTGCGGGAGGTGGGGGTCTCTCTCCGGTCACGTAGTATACTTATCTCAAGTCTTGAGAACAATTAGGGCGGACAATAACTATAGAATGACTTTTTGTTGTGCGCCGGCTGCCTGTAGCAGCAGCGGAGTGCGATAACGCCGTCGGGAGACCGCCGGAAAGTCTCTCCAGACAGCGGCCGGGGCTGCAGACCCTCGATTTCGCTCTCCGCGGCCTCCGGTGTAGCGCACGCCGAAAGGTTGCACTTTTATCCTGCTGAATGAACGGCATCTTGACACGTTTCTTCTGGCAAGCCATAAATCCCTTTGAGGAGATGAACAATAGGAGTTGATTTGGAATACTTTTGTAAACAGGGTGGTAAACAACTGATGCAAAATCGCTTTATTATTATTATTAATTTT